CATTGAAGAATCAAATTTGTGAAGAAAAAGTAAAAACACATACCTTTCCCTTCTTTCAGACATACGTAGGCACTTTTCATATTCCAATCAAGAAAAAAAAATTTGTTTCACAACAGAAGCCAATTTAACACAACATGACCACTTTATCTGGTACTTGGTCTCTAAAATAATAAAATCTTGGGGCTGGGGAGATAGCTCACCAGAATATAAACCTGCCTAGCAAACACAAGGTCCTGAGTTGAATCCCTGATACCAAAAACCAAACAAAAACTAAAATAAAATCTTGAATATGCACCATACCTTTAAAAAAGTGAAAAAAAATCCCTGATTGTTTGCTATGCTAATATCTTCATATTAGGGGCTGGCCACATAGCCCAGTGGACTAAAACACCTGCTTAGGCAGAGCGCAGCAGCCAGGGTTTGGTCCTTGGCATGCCTTGCCAGCTCCGTCTCCTAGGACATGCTGAGACAGCAACTGAGACTGGGCATGGTGGCGTGCGCCTATAATCCCAGAGCTTGGGAGGCTGAAAACAGGAGAATAATTATGGGTCTGACCTATGTAGTGAGACCCTGTAAACCCTGTCATATACATATTTCACAAGTTTGGGGACATGAAATCATACAAGGAAGTTCAAGCATGCACAACAGGCTAATGCACACTTGGTACGCTGGAGACTTTGTGGGTTCTTCAGCATTAGGCACTTTTGCAACTTCATTTGAACCAGTCTTCTAAAGCAGTACTTCCCTGCGCACAGGCACATGTTCCCTTGCTAATGGCCTCTGCCTCTGAATCTCTGTCAGATGTAAATATAGCACCAAGCAAAGAGCTTGCTGCTATTTATTATTTTAATCCAAGCATAACTAGCCCATACTCTAAACCGGCATAGCTTTCAGGGTCTGATCAAATTTACATTTTAATTCTGTTTCTCATCATATCTTCAAATGTACGCAATTTATCTTCCCTGCCCTCATAGGAATATGGAGCAGATGCCATAACTCTGCTACTTATACAATCACTGCAGAGACCAAAGTGAGTTAAAATGTCTAGTTTTGGACCAAAAAAGACCTGACCTGGTTATAACATGACACTACCTGGTAGGGTCCTGCTTCAAGTCACCTCCTGCTGGGGTGCAGGAGGCTGGCTTCTTTTTCTCCACCATCCACTCCCCTGCTGGCCAGCTTCTCACTCTTCCAAGATGAAAGCAGAAAAAGGGACCAATTCGGTGTCTGCACACTCTGAGTGTCTGGGTGACGCTCACTATCTTCTGTTGGCTTCTCATTCTTCCCGTTGCCTCTGGACTTGTAGAAACTTGCTGCTGGAGTATCCTCACCCTTAGCTAGCTCTCCTCCTAACGTGGCCACACCTGGGCCTTCAAGCGAGCTCTAGGCATCCTTTGGCCATCAAACTTAGGGAAAGGAGGTGATGAAACTGCCCAAGCCACCCAGTGAGCCCCAAATGCAGACAGGAGACACCTGTGTGCCTCAAGGCTCCATTAAAAGTGCCTATCCCCAGCACGAGGCCTATGTGTTTCTATGAAGTACCAGCAGACGCCTCTCAGGCACCCTCCCAACAGGCTTCATGCCCCACCCTCCACAGTACTAAAGATTGAAACCTGCCTTTCATGCTACCCCTGACTCCTTTGAGGCATGCCAGCCTAACCTCTCAGACTCTTGAGGTGGCCAGTGGATTCCCAAGTTTCCAAAATGTTCTCAAGTATCTGCTGACATTTGTACTCAGAAGTCTAGTGCTTTCCTTTGGCAATCCATGGAACTTGAGAACGCGACCCCCAAACACAAAGGTTCAGTATAGGCCATTTCCAGTTCAAGTTCATTTTGCTCATGCTTCTAATAAAAGTGGGGAATTTGAACACTCTGAGGGCTCTCCGGGACATCAGATTCAACACACACACACACACACACACACACACACACACCCTGTGGTGATTCTCACCTCCACAGTTCTACAAGATCACCTTTGTCGGGCTGGAGAGATGGCTCAGTGGTCTAAAGCACCTACTTAGAACAAGCTAAGCAAAGCATCAGGGACCGCGGTTCGATCCCCCAGCACCACATGCCAGCCAGCCCCGCCCCCTGGTGGGCTGAGCTGGCCACACTCTCTCTCTCTCTCTCTCTCTCTCTCTCTCTCTCTCTCTAATAAATAAATAAATAAATAAAATTAAAAAAAAAAAAAGATCACCTTTGTCACTGGTTTCACTTCTGATCCTAATTCTACTATTAGGAACAAACCTCCTTCCTGCTCTTCAAAGTTTTAGGACTATTTTCTAGAACCTGGCCAAGGTTCCTGACCGCCAGATTAGCCCTCCTTGTTCTTCATTTAGCCTAACTGAAGACCCTTGTTGTTGTCCAGGCTCATTTACCCTGGATGGCCTCAAGGTGGTCCTTGTCCTCTGTAGATGTGGGGCCCCAAGTGAGATACAAAGCAAAGTGGACTCTGAGTCCTTTTGATCCAAATACTACGTCTCAGTTACTCTCTGGCGGAGAGTCATCTTAGCATGAGGACAAGCTATCTGTCCAGGCTGGCTGTAGAAGGCTCATGCAGAGCTGGTGCGCTATGGAAATTCCAGGTTTTTTCTTTTATGTGAACTGCCGCTTAGTGGAGTTGCTGTATCTTTTGCTGTTTAAATTGACTTGCACCTTGGTGCAGAAATAGCCCTTTAACCCCACTATGAGCTGGGCACTCCGGTACTATATTCTCTTGTTTGGCTATAATAATATGGCTCATAAATTCTCCTCCTAGATTTATAGTTGCTCCAGCTCCAATGGATGCCTCTTCTCCTTATGCTTAGGTATAGCAAACAGTGGCCTAAAATGCCCCTGTGGAGACCAGATTCACTCCACGCTGGCTCCTGATGGGGGGTCAGGGGCTCTGACTTGTGGCTCTCTGCTTTGGGGAACGTGTTGGTAAAATGGAAATAGTAGTCATCTTAGCATGAGGACAAAAGGGGGCTGTGCATTAGGGACGCCTAGCCCGGGTGCGGTCATCCTAACAACATGAGAAAGTCAAAAGGAAGAATTCAGAGTGGCGATTGTATGGCCAGTTCACCACATTCCCCTTGGTGAAAGACATCAGCATCTGGGGACCCACAAAAATGTGGAGAAAGCAGTTGACTCCGCAGAGACCCTAATAATGCCATTTGCAAGGTAGAAAATTACTCCCACTGTCACCTTCTGGGGGTTAGGGGAGGAATCTGAATGGGGACAGCCAAGGTTAGGTATGCAGAGGCAGTAAAATGGACAACAGAGAGAGAGAGAGAGAGAGAGA